ACATCAGGAAAAACTTCTTCCTGGAAGTTGTGGACTGGAAAGGGGAGCTGGACAAGCTCTGGAAGTTGTGGACTCACCATGACTGCAGGTGTTCAAGAAGAGGTTAGACATCCACTGACTGGGGATGATATAGGTGTAGCTATGACTACGTTCTACTATGGCTATTTCCCACGCTTCTAAACTTTGCTGGTTCCCCCTGCCCATTTTCTGCTACATTCAGCAGGGTGTTTATAAGCCTTCCTCAGAGGCATTGAATGTTGACTGCAAACAAGGCTGGGGACTTTGACTGGGGTGTGCCAGTGGTCCTGCTAGGACTTAAAACCAGAGGTTCCTGGCTAGAGGGTCTTGCTCCTCCACTCAGGGCCATACTAATTCGCATATATGGGGTCAGGAAGGAATTTTACCACATGGTCAGATTGGTATGGACTGTGGGAGGTTTTTCCTTCCACTGTTGTGGGGGGCATGTCCCTCTACCTGAGATCTCTTGAGCATATATTTACAACCTTTTACAGAAGCAGGAGGTTGGCTGCTATGGTTCCCCTGTTTTACCTATGGCAGGTTAGGGTGTTATGTCTTGTGTTGGGTCAGGTTTGAGGGTAGTTTTATGTGGAGATTAGGTTATGGATTTATAAAAGATAGTTTGGATAGGAATGATCCTTCCTCAGGCAGGGGGTTGGACTAGATGACCTCTGGAGGTCTTAATCAGTGGGTATTAGCATATAAGGGAATTCAGAAGGGTATTTTTTCTAGCTTTTACAATTACCGAGATATTTCCTGATCAAAAAGGAGCAAAAAGTCTCTATAGAACCTTAAAAAAAGAAAAGAAAATGTGCTATAGTGGTAACATGTGGTTTATTGGAGTGCAGTTCTTTGATGTTCTAATGTAAAATGATGGCTGGCAAAAAAGAATCAAGACAAAAGGTAATATGCAAAATAAAGAGCTTGAAATACAAATACTTCTTGAAAGGAAAGGTAAAACATAGTCTGTATACAGCAGATTTAGGAACATTTTGCTCATATTCTAAGCATCTGGTTTTGGGTAGAAAGCTCTACATAGCACCCATAAACGAAGTGTCTATTCTAAAATTAAACTCTTCTGTAATAGCACTTACAACAATGTGCTATTTTCCCTGCTTTCTGAGATAGGAAGAGGGGGTCTCTAATGTGCATAATGGGGTCCCTTTAATCCCCATCATAGGAAAGCGGAGGCAGACCCCTTTAAGGGGAGCCAGACAGGCTGGAGGCCATGCCCCTTAGAGAAATATAAGGGAAGGGCCCCAGCAGTGGGAAGGCAGAAAGGCCCTGACCAGGGAAAAAGACAGAGCTCCTGGTGAAGGAGGAGAAAGAGGAGGAGAGACCCAAGGGAAACAACCATGAGTAAAGGTGAAGAAAAACTGAGTGAAGCCTAATAAGCCAGAAGCTTGGCTCTAGGCTTCTCCAGAAGGATTAATAAGCATGAATTGGAGGGGACTGACCGGAGGGGTGGGTGGACACTAGAGGACTTACTAGATGGGGAACACTCCAACAGAGGGAACAGTCCAACAGAGGTATACAACAAAAATAAAGGGACACTAGGCAGAAGGTCCAAATCAGGAGGCCCAGTAAAACCACATGTCCCATTGACCAGACTCTCCTTCTCTTCAGAGACCCACACACTGAATAAGAACAAGACATAGCAGGCAAGATGAGCAGGAATACCTGAGGAGAAGAAAAGGCTAGACCAGCCCGGGTGGTATCATACCTAGAGCAGGAAGGTGTGAGCCAGTACACATGGAAGAACAGGAATCAGGATTCCTAGCAATTATTCCACTGAAGGGTATCAAGTGAAATAATGGTGGACAGTGCATAAACATGAAATCAGCTGGTCTCATAACTAGGGGAATGGTTAATATGCTCACATTTATGTTAACTCAAAGTCCCGAGGAAGGATCTTTGAAGACATGGAGGGATGATGTCATGACAAGCTTTTCAACACAGTACACAAAGAAATAAACATAAAATTCCTATTATTAAACTTGAGTCATTTGCCTGATTTGTCTCTCCCTTGTTACCAAGTTTTATACCCCAAAACCAAAATATTTTAATTAGGTCTTACTATGCAAATTCAGAACATACTTCGAAACCCTGTTGGGATAGACAAGATGTTCCATCCTAGGTCCTGACTCTATCACAATTTTAAAAAATTGTTTGCTCAAGAAATATGCACATGTGTCAGGCTTGCAGCAACATGGACAGCAGTCTGTTTTGGCCAATGGAGTTATTCATTATAGCACTGTGTGCCTACAGCTGTCACATAGGTATTGTTCTGAGCTCTTTACTCTTTCTTCAGGATACAAGTAAGGTCCTGTTACATGTTAATTTTCAGCAGCTCTTGGAGTTCTTAACCCCTGGACAGTCCACACATTAGCACATGACACTAGTTTTAAGCACCTGGTAGGTAGCTTGGCGGGGTTTAGGTTGTAGCCGTGTTGGTCTAAGGACATAGGCAGACAAGGTTCCTTGGGTGAATTTGATATCTTTTATTAGACCAACCCAAGTAGTTGGAGAAAAGTTATTAAGTAAGCTTTCGGGTTCAAAAACCCTTTGTCAGGCTAAGGAAGTTTCTGCAGTTGGTATGTGCTCTTCCTGGATGGAATGAAAAGTAAAGAAGCCAGAGGCTGGGCTGGGGAGTCAGTTGCCAGGCAGATTATAATGTATCAAAAATCCAATGTCTATGTTTAGTCCATGATCTCTAGTATCCAGCAGGTTGATGAAATGGAGCTCATAGGCTCGTCTCTGGGAAGTGTTGTAGATAGCTTAAAATTATGCCACCCCATGACAGGTTTCTCTCTTATCCATGTTACTCAGCTTGTGCTACATTAATGTGAGGCCACTCCCTAGAGATAAGGCACCCAAGTTTCAATCCTCCAGCACCCCATGATGCAGTGTCTCCTACCCCAACCTCCTGTTCTGTGTGGACAAACCTTCCATCCCCTGAAATCTACTTGAACTCTAATTGAATTTTTTGCATTGTGCAGAAGCTGGCTGGCCAGCTGTTAGGGAACAGACTGGTCCAGGAGGGGAGGCTAGGGATAGGGTAGGGGGAAATAAGTTAGAGGGCCAGACTGGGTCCCTGTGATCTAGGGCTTCCTTCTCAGGGCAGGGGCAGTAGCTCCCCCAAAAGCCCCTTCTCTCACTGCTCCCACCTCCCAGACATCCCTGGAAACATGACCAGCAACCCTCAATCCCAATTCCAATTTATTAAAACATGAGACCATCTTTAATTTACTTCCTCTTTCTGGGTTTTTTTTTTTTTTTTACTTATTATTTTATCCTTAAGCAGCTGACTGGCTTCATTTCACCACCCTTCTCCCATCCTCACTGCCTCTCCACCTTGCATTTCATTACCTACCACTTTCCCATTAACTCTTTGCTTTCCAGCTTCATGTTCCTGCACCACCAATCCTCCCCCGCTGTCCCCTGCAACCCATCTCTCCAACCCACCCCCGCTTCGAGCAGGGATAAAGTTTATCCTGGCTTGCCAGCCCTCTAGTGGCAATTTATACCTGTAGCTCCTAGTCTCTCCTCTGCTTGCCAGCCCATGCCAGTCACAGCTGTGTAGGTCGTGGATAGTCAGAGAAGGTTTTTAGCTTTAACATGTGACTGCTCAAAACTTAAGCTAGCACTAACACAGATCAACATTTGAGCAGCTCAAAGTGCAACATGTAACAAGGCCCTCAATTTACCACAAAGGGGATCGTAACAGAGCACCCTGCTCTGTTACTTTCAAGGGGCTGAGCAGCAGCAGCAAGGCAGCCTGCAGCTGCCTGCAATCCCAATTAGGCACCACTGCCTGATTGGGGAACAGGGCCCAGCTGTTGCCTACAAGTGCAGGGCCCAGAACCGCAAAGCAGCAGCAGTTTGCTACCAGCAGCTGAAGGAACAACACCTGGCTGAGCTACTGATCCCAGAACACCCTAGGAGGTAAGAGCTGGGGCTCTGGGAAGGAGGAAGCCCATGGTCCTGGGTATGACTGAAAATTGCACCCTGCTAGGGATGTGTGGCTTGCTGGGACTGTCTGTGGTGGGACAATCCCCCAGAAATGCCAGGCCAGTTACCTCCCCGGTGAAAGGCATGTATGAGGAACCTTCTGATCCCAGCCCCACATCCCTGGTGGGTTGAGTTCAGGCAGGGTGAGCCCAGGCTCGCAGGAGTCCTGAGGTAGGGTCCAGGTTGGTTGAGGGACCTGGAACATCCCCTGGAGCCTTGGGGAGCTATTAAGGAAGCTCCTGGAGCCAGAGATAAGGGGGTAGCTCAGGGAGGGCAAGGGGACAGGGCTTGGAGCCCCTGTGGAGCCAAGTGCAGGCTTGGAGGTCCAGAGTATTTGAGGCTTTGAGGCCCAGTGTGTGTGCATGTAAAGAAAGAACCCAGGGTGAGGGTGCTGGACCACAAGTTCTGCTGGGGAGTGAGAGTCCTGGTGAGACTCCAATGCTCAGGTCCCAGTGCAAACCACTGGAGGAAACACCTGTGAGGCATGGGACATAATAAGGGGACGTAGAAGTCATGGGTAATGCCTTTAGCATCAGGCAAGTAAATGGGCATCCTCCTGCCTAAGTAACATTGTAATTGTTATCATCAAGGCATGGCAGGAAAGTCAGGCAGGTGGTTTGCCCAGAAGCAAGTGGATGGGCCAACAATCTGACCAGCCCCAGGATGTCCACTTGTTACAGGGATAAAGGGGGACAGTGCAAGAAATATGTTTTTCCCTTCTTGTGACTGATTGCAGATATGCCCATTTCCTTTCCCACTGTTGAATTTTTATCATGTATTAAAAGCTCCCACAGAGCTATGAAATGGGAAGCATTCATTTTATTTGTAAGTTTACAAGCCTTCTCTAATTTACATCAAGCAGAGTAGATAGTGTGGTTTTTCTAAACATACTACTTTGCCCCCCTCCAAACAATCATGATTTAGAGCAATGATTAGCATGAATCAGAATCAATGGCGCTTTATGTACTCACCATGTACCACATGCTTTGCCACTTGGGATCATTGAAAAGAATGGTTTGAGTACCACCAGCTTTATAATCCCTCTTTATCCTTCTTTGACCCACCTGCTGTTGTATCCATTCCACCTGCAAACACGAAAAACATTTGGTAAGTGTTAGGGTTCTATGGAGATTATCAGGAAATGTATGAAATCTTGGGAAGTTTCCTATTACTGAAGTCTAACATTAGAGTTAATTTTGGTAGTGGGAATGCACAGCTTACCTTGGCATTTTGTTAATAAATGAATAGATCCAATTTAGGTAGTACTATAGACCTCCATGCACAACTCTATAAATCCCCTGTTTACAGGAATTCATTTTGGATATCTTTTTGAACAAAAACATCACTTATCATCATTAATTAATACATTCCCCTCATTTTGCATTTATACATCTGGCTACATACACAAAGCTTAATAGTCAGTCATAACAGAAATTAATGGGATTTCCAAAGGCTTATCTTTTGTTATTCTGCTTTGTCAGTTTTTGCCAACAGATATTACTGTAATATGTCTATCCAGTATCTCAATCAACCTTACCACGTGGTGTGAAAAGACCAAAACAAAATTGTAGCTCATTGCAGAGTGGTGTTATTCATAAAGACTCATTCCCTTAAGCTTTCAGGAGCTCTGCTTTATTTAAAATCAAAGTGCTTGCATGATCACGATACAGAGCAACTAGTTACATTACAAGAAGAAACTCATAATACAACCAAATTATAAGATTAAGGTCAAAACCAGGCTTCAAAGTTTGTTTTTTATCTGTCAAACACTTCCTCAACTATTGTGAACACATTCAGAAGGGGCACCATAAAAACTGACACCCACAGTATATAGCACAGGGATTTTCAAACTTTTTTAGTTTAAGTACCCCCAGTGGCTGGATGCTGAGCAGGGGGATGCGGGGGAATGCATACAGGCAGGCGGGGATGGAGCATGGCTGCCTCCCAGGAGCAGGGCCTGGGGGCGGGGTGTGAAAACTCACTGGGCTGGGGTGAGGGCAGCAGCATCCTTCTGCAGGGCGGGGAAGCTCACCAGGCTAGTGTATGGCAGTGGTGGCCAACGCATGTGAGCTTCCCCACCCTGCAGAGGGGTGCTGCTGCCCTCGCCCCACCCTGGCCCTGCTCCTGAGAAGCAGCAGCACTCTGTCCCTGCCCACCCAAGCATATCCCCTAGGACTGGTCCAAGTACCCCCAGGGGTATGTGTGCCCCCGGTTGACAACCCCTGGTATAGCAGATAGGAATCTGGGGTGACTGTGAACATTGTAAGCTATTCTGAGTGAAACCCAATTAAACTTGCATGCTTGTGGTTCACTGACAGTTCCTGTTGCTGGAGAATTGCTTGTATTCAGTAAAACTGTAAATATTCAATTCACATCTTCCTAAGAAAAGCAGCTATTGCCTGCTTGTCACGTGTTCTGCACCTTGCATTCCATGCATGTGCAGGTGTATGCACATATACACGTAGAGACATGGATATACTCCACTTTCAGAGCACATCTTTATTTTCTGGTACCATCAAAGAGACACTTGCTAGAAAAAATATGAATGGCTTCTGCTTGCAGCAGAATATCTTCACCTGTGCATTCTTAACTACTTCAAATCCTGAAATGCTGACCCAGGCAAAATTCCAACTGATTATAACATGAGTTATGCTTGACTGAGAACTGAGTGCCCCATGCTTCTGAAAACAGAGAGACTTAAAACCTTTTAGATTCTCATCAGGATGAAAAGAGAGACACAGTCTGGACTATCTGTGATGTGTTTTACAAGATACCATTTCTATAGATTGGCAGGAGACAGTACAAGAACAGGACCACAGTAATGTCATGGTTTCCCCCCCTGCGCTAAGGAACCTCCCTTCCTTGAGCATTGCTTTAGACTCAGTAATGGTCAGAGAAACCCCAAGGGCCATAGCTCCTGTGCTAGAAACCTGTGATGTCAAGAGGCATCAAGTAGAAGCCTACAAGATCTATTTCATTTTCCGTATTGTTGGGAAGTGATTGAGAAAAGTTGAGCATGTCCTTTTTCTCTTTTCCAATGGGCTTCCTTGCTGGCATTAAATCCATCTTGTAGCTTACTTTCAGCAAGCCTGGGAATATTTACAGGGTTGGCTACTGCCTTCAGATCTTACACATTCCAGAGCGTCATTCATAGAGGGAGGAGAGCTAATCATTATTAGGCACCTCTGACATAGCAAAGTCTTGGATCATGCAAAATGAATAGAGTGTATGTAGCTGGCCAGATGCCAACAGAGAGAGCCAAAGACCTTAGTAAGCACAAAACATAAGGACAGGATAGACTGATTGGCCATGGACGATGGTTTCCCTGGGGACAAGAAGCGGTGGCACACCTTGTGTTGGGGCTACTTGCCCCCAGGAAATGCCTGTGCCACGTGCCCTCTGGCACACAGCCCATTAACCTGGGTGGGGTAGTGGAGGCTGGGGCCAGCACTGACCCCAGTACCCCAACAGCCTTACTTGGGGTCCTGGGGGCCTCCTGGGGCTGCAGCAGTGGTGATCCTGCTGCTTGGAGCCTGGCTGGCAGCTGGAGCATGGCTCAAGCCGGCCAGGCTTTGGTTTTGGGTGGCATGTACTGCCCCCCCCCCTTTTTTTTTTTACAAGGGTTTTTGTTTTTACCCTGGTCAAAACCCCCCTGCATTGCTGCCTTGTGGTGCAGAGAATGGCTGAATGCATGGTAGTGGTGCTGCAGATATGTCTGCAGTGCCACACATTGCATGGCCACGTTCATCTGGATGCAGCCATTGCAGCTAAATAATTTGGGCTTTTTCCTATCAAAAAAGTTGATATTCCCCAGACTTCCAGTGAATGTTTCCTCCATGCTGCAGGCTGGAGAGAGTTCTCTCACTCAGACCTCCTTAATGGAGACCTATTCATTTCCTACTTTTACTCCCAAGTTTGCAGCCCAGCCCCTCATTACACCTGTAAGGCAACCCATGCAGCCCCTTATCTGCCTTCCACCTCTGACTAACTGGTTGAACTAGGTCCTCTTCTTTGAACCTGTTTAAATCTTCCCTTAGTATGTTGAGATCAGAAGGAAGAGAGATTTCTGGAGACCTAACCATGCTTTTCAGGACTTATACAAATACAACCTCCAAATCCTTGTAGATTAGGCTATGATTGCTTACTATTAATCATTTTTAGTAGACCAGGGGGGGTCTCTGCTTTCTGCACTGCAGAAACATTGGCACTCAGCTACTCACAGCAAAAGGCACTAAGCTGCAGTGACATGGTGAAGAGTTACAAATCGCAGTCCACAAAGTAATTTGGGAGCATGACTCCAGTACTGGTGCCAAAAGAGTTTCACAAAGTGAAAACAATGAGCGAGACTGAACAGAAGCTAAGTCTGCACAAAGGAAATTTCCACCATCACTACAGCTGGTTCAGCCCCCTCAACATTGGAAGACCAATGTAAAATAGTGACAGCTGACATTACTGTTGTAAGTGCCATATAAAACAAAGAGAACTCTAAGTTGGGTTAGATCGGGGTGAGCAAAATGGTAGATCCAGCCAGCAGCCAGACTCCATTTCCCCAGTAGCCCTTGCCCCCATCACCGTGGCTGGTTTGCATGGAGACCCCAACAGCAGCAGCACCATGATGATGTGGGGAGGGGGTTTCCACAGAGACTGGGCCCAGCAGCACTGGCAGAAAACACGGCTGGGCGGAGAGCTGCTCCGAGGCTGGGGCTGGGATCTTGCAGGTGTGACAATGTGGTCCAGAGTCAGGGTAGAGCCGCAATCTGCTGCCTGCACACCCTTGCCCGAGGCATTCGGCAGTGGATCACAGCTCTGCCCTGGCTCCAGACCACTGCTGCAAGATCCCAGCCTTGGAGCAGCTCCCACCCAGCTGCATGCCCTGCCAGCGCTGCTGGAGCTGATCTCCATGGAAAGCCTGGACCCTCCTGTCACAGCATTGCTGCTCCTGGGGTTTCCATGGAGACCAGCTGCAGCATCACAAGCAGAGGCTGCTGGGAAATGGAGTCCGCCATAGACCCAATCTGGCCTAGGGGCCAGTCTTTGCCCACCCCTGCGTTAGATGCTTAAAATGGTGGCAGCTATCCTTCTTCAGTCTACAGCTCTCAGTAGAGTTAGAACCATTGTAGTGATGGTGGGTATGTTTTTTGGCAACACTTTTCTAGAGTAAATGGGCCCATACAAAGTGAGGGAGACTGGGAGACATGGAAGCAAGTTTAAGCAGAACCACAGTAACCTGGTTCTGTACAGAGAGAGAGAAAGAGAAGAGTTTAGGGTTTCCTCTGACAAGATAAATTGCCAAACGGTTTATTATTCATTTAAAAAATATGTTCTCTGTATTTGTTTACTGCCTATTCAGCATTAAATATCTGCTGACCGTTAACAATCTGAACTAAAGGCAAAATAATAGTGCTTGTGGAGGTTTGTATCTTCAATAACAAGTGCAGAAACATGGTCTCAGTACATTCCATAAATTGATGTCTCAAAACGTATAATTAATTTCTTTTGTCTTGGTTACTTTTGTCTCAGATCAGATTACTGAAAACACTTATCATACATTCCTTCAGTCCAAACAATCATAATCCTTTTCTTACTGCACCACTTCAGTGTACCTAAAGAATTACTTAGCTGGAAAATACATTTTTATATATGAAATGGAGCTCATTTGTAAATTCATGTTCTTACTCTTTAGCAGTATGTCTATGCACCATAAGCAGAACCTACTCAGGTAAGTTACTGCATTTAACAAAGGAGGTCAGCATTTGCATTTTAAAGAATGTGTTTGTCTAAAACTAGGCTTAGACCGGAAAGATATTCTGGTTGTTTCATGCAATGTGAGTACCTTCAAACCTAATGAAGTCAATTAGAGCAAGCTCTCTGCAGGAGTAGCACTGGAATTTGCAAAATCAGACTCAAACCTGGAATGAAGGGTGGTAGAATACACCACCCTACAATAAAACCAAATGGTTATATATATCATATGTGTCTCTATGTCCATATATGTAGTTGTATGTGTATACATTTTCTAATGGGTGTGTACATGTATGGGTATATGAAGACTCAATAGCATCAAGCTATCACAATACAGTCTGAT